CTACCCAATTTCTGGGTTCTGGCACTCCAGTTTCGACACTCGGTGCCGAAAATGTTAACCATCCCTGCCCCTCAGGGGATAATTGAAAGATCTTCTGAAATGGTACTTGTCATATCACTGGGTTTCCCTTAATATAGTTACGCGAGACCATCAAAGCAGAATTTAGTCTACTTATGGTGCGGTCAACGAATATGAAATGCAGGACAAAACCACCTTTCTTGAAAACCAACAGCGCAATGGATTCCTGCCTTAGTGGGTGAAGGATAATGCTAAGGTTTCTTTTCCCCCCCCTTGTTTTATGTAGTTGCTTTCCAATCCTCCTTGGGCCAGAAACCAATTCTATCAGTCTAGGCCAGGAGCTTCCAATATTGCCCGCTTTAAAACCTGTGGACTTCAACTCCTAGAATTCCTCAGCCAGCAAGGGGAATTCTGTGAGTTGAGGTTCACAGGTCTTAAAAGCTGCCAAGGTTGGGAACCCCCTGATTTAGATGACCCCCTCGCTTCCAAACTGCTGTCCTAAAGGGACCGTGGTGTTCTTTGGAAATTTCTTGTGGTTGTGGAAGGGGGACAGATAAATGATAAGTGATATTTCCTTGGCTAAAATATTAGATGGGTCACTGCATCTACAAAACGGCCTCTGCATCGTGGAAGGAAATGCAGGATGGCAGCCTTCCTTATTGTGACCCTCCAGAAATGTGTCTTCCAGAATCCTTAGCCATGAGGAAGCTGTCTGAAAAAGTCTGGAAGCTGAAGACAAACCCCCCACCCCTTCTAGAGGGGGCATTTGGCTTTGTGTAGGACTGTGGTGAGCCCTAGGCAGTGTTTCACATCAACTGTCTATGTGCTCCAGACTTCTCATTAATCACATGCCATCAGCTTATGACAAACAAATCGATGAAGAATGGATCCCTTGAAGTAAGAGTTGAGTTCTTTCTGATCGAAGGTCACCAGGCAACGGGTTCGCAGCCCCTACACAACCCATTCCAAGAAAAAGCAGAAGAAGCGGTTAGCCGGCATTTCTCATTCGCGATCCATCTTTAAAGTCACTTTTCGGATGCCCACAAGACACGCGAAAAGACGAGGATGCAACAAAAGGTGGTAAGGACGAGAGGGATCCAAAGATGTCTCTCCAAAGTCTATCTCAAGTCAACCAAGTGGAAATTCCTTCGGACACCATAGAAAATTGCCACCAACACCTTCTCTTTGGCAGATTGACGCGTGATGCTTGCTTGAAAATTGCTCGCCCAAAGTGGGGGTGGGGGGGAAGGGGAGGTGGCATACATAATTGTGCAACATACATGTAGGAATTTCAGTTTGCACAAGTCTTCACGGGAAAACAATCAAACCCCACCAAACAGCGACAGAGGCGGCCCGCTCCAGAAATGGAAGTCCTGTTTTCCAGAGCGGTGGTGGGCTCACCTCCATCTGGATTTTACTCAGTTGTGTGGAAGAGCGAGCCAGAGGTTCGAGACCGAGTTCTCCAGGTGGAGAAAGAGGGTGGCAAGTTCTCTGCATTGGAGGTGCATAAATCTTCTGTGGTGACACGCCCAGTGTGTCACAGCCTGTCTCCAAAGCAGAAGGCCTTTCCCCTTCGCTCCATGAATTGCAGTGCTCCTGTTTTGTTTGCATGCACATGACATCCTTCAGGAGCATCTATGCTGGCAGTCGGGATCAACCATTAACTCACACAGTTATTCCACTTTGACAAACAAACAAACAAACAAACAAATAAGGGCAGTATAGCCGTCTCCATTGTCTCATTTTCAAATCCTTCCCTTTCCCTTTTTTTTCCTTTTGTTTTAATATTGTCACAGGCAGTATCTTCTTTTTAAAAAAGGACAAATAAACAAATATGCAGCTTATAAACCCAGGCTAATATCTTATGTATGTAGGTATGAGTGTATGTATGCATGTATGTATGTCTGCATACATACAGTACACGCGTACATAATATATATATATTAATTAGAGAATTAATATATTAATTCTCCAATGTATTTGAAAGTTTGTAAAAATGGCCGTTGAACTGTGAAAGCAATGTACCTCGAAGGAAGGAAGGAAGGAAGGAAGGAAGGAAGGAAGGAAGGAAGGAAGGAAGGAAGGAAAACTTAAACAGCTGCAGGCGAATTACCCCGTATTTCTACAGTGTTGTGTCTAAACGTTGTGCTGGCTTTTAAAAACAACTGTTATGCAAGATGTCCTTGCACCAAAATACTGTACAAAAATTCCCGTCACTGTCGTAGGTTTGCTTCCGAAGCTGTGTCATCGTCTTCCTCTTTGGCTTTCCCTTTCTCCTCTTCCTCCTCTTTAATAGCCTCTATTTGTTCGGAGGACGGGTGCAGCGCCGTTGACGGCTCCCCACTTTGCTTGTCCTTCCCAGCTCTCCTCTCTTCCTCTTCCATCACCTTCTTCCACATCTGATGGTTCTGCAGCAAGTGCTGAGTTATCTGGCAGTAGACTTTCCTCCTTTTCTTTCCTGCCAAAGGCGATAAGCAAACATCAAGCCTCATTCACATTGGGAGAAAAGCCTGAGAAAAAAACCTCTGGCTTATGTCTACATAAATGTCAGGAGAATAGGCAGAGCCCAACCGGAATAGAGCAAACAAGGACCATGTGTAGGGACTTAGAACAGTTTTCTCTGCTGGGAACAGTTTGATGGAGGGATACTGCTGAAAAGTTGTTGCCGATTTTGAATACACTTCAGCAAAATTGTCAGGCCCCCAAGAAACCAGCAATGACATGTGAAGTTACTTCTGAGTAGGTTCTTTATTGTTTCTCACCTACAGACAGAATCTTGCCAGACTAAAGCAACTATCTACATAATTACAGATATACTTTGAATGCTAGGGAGGGACTGTCTTAACCCTCCTCCTACGTACCAGAATATCTAAGCTTTGCGGTCTCTTTGTCCCCTATTAAGCAGACCCTCCCTCCCAGTGGT